CAACGTCTCCAAACAGCCCCCAACAACGGGAAGTGACGGATCCCAGCGGCCATCATTCCCCCAGCACAGCGACCTGCAGCTCCCCGTGCCGCCTTCACTCGGCCAGGGACGGCGCCGGAGCTGCGGGTGCCGCAGCGGCAGGCGGTGGGAAGCCAGGGGGCACAAAGGCTCGGGCGGGGAAGGAGAGAGCCCAGGGCAGCTCCAGGGGGGACAACGGCAGGGGGGGTCCGGCGGAAGGGAAGGGCGGGGGTCCGACGTCGGCTCGGAGGTCGGCGGGGGGCGGCGCGGGGGTCTTTTCCCCGGCGTGGGTGCGCCGGTGCCGGTTGAGGTGGGAGCTGCGGCTGAAGCATTTGCCGCAGGCCGGGCAGGCGTAGGGCTTCTCTCCGGTGTGCACGCGGCGGTGGATGGTGAGCTCGGAGCGCTGGATGAAGCTCTTGCCGCACTCGGGGCAGCCGTAGGGCTTCTCTCCCAGGTGGGTGCGCCGATGGGTGAGGAGATTGGAGGAGACGCTGAAGCACTTGCCGCACTCCCCACAGCGGTACGGCTTCTCCCCGGTGTGCATGCGGCGGTGGATGGTCAGGTCCGATTTTTGGATGAAGCCCTTGCCGCAATCCCCGCAGGCGTACGGCTTCTCCCCGGTGTGGATCCGTCGGTGTTTCACCAAAGCCGAACGCTGCCCGAAGCCCTTCCCGCAATCCCCACACTTGTAGGGCTTTTCCGGCGGTGCCGACGTCGCCGTGCCATCCCCGTCCCCGTCGCTTTGATGGGAGCACTGATGGGGCGGCGGGCGCCCACCGGCGTGAGCCCGCTGGTGCTTCAGCAAGGCGGCCCCTTGGCCAAAGCAACGCCCGCACTCCCCACACTTATAAGCCCGGCCGTGCCGGTGAGCAGCCAAAAACTCCTCCACGTGTTCGTGGCACCGCTCGGCCACGTGGATCTTCCGGTGCCTCTCCAGATGTGAGCTGACACTGAAGCTCTTCCCGCACTCCCCGCACTGATACGGCCTCTCTCCGGTGTGCACGCGTCGGTGCCGCTCCAGATCGGAGCGTTGGATGAAACCTTTGCCGCAATCGCCGCAAGCGAACGGCCGTTCTCCGGTGTGGATGCGCCGGTGTTGGGTCAGGTTGGAACCACGGCTGAAGCTCTTGCCGCAATCCCCACATCGATGAGGCCGTTCGCCTCCGTGCGTCTTACGGTGTTTGGAAAGCGCCGAGCGTTGGCCGAATCCTTTGCCACACTCCGGGCACCGATGCGACGCCGACGAACCGACGTCATTTACGGGCACCGGGCGATGGGCGCTGCGGGCACCCACCACGGCTCCCGCATGCGTCCTGCGGTGCCGATCCAGATGTGAGCTGACACTGAAGCTCTTCCCGCAATCCCCGCACGGATACGGCCTCTCTCCGGTGTGCACGCGTCGGTGCCGCTCCAGATCGGAGCGTTGGATGAAACCTTTGCCGCAATCGCCGCAACGGTGCGGCCGTTCCCCGGTGTGGATGCGTCGGTGTTGGGTCAGGTTGGAACCGCGGCTGAAGCCTTTGCCGCACTCCACGCAACGGTGCGGTTTTTCGGCGGCGACGACGGCGGCGCGGCAACGCCGGGAGCAGCCCAGGCAACAGCGTGGTTTGGAGGCGGCGCTGCGGGCGCATTCGGCGCACGGCGCCGGCGTCGGGTCGCCCTTCTTGGTGCTGCGGCGTTGGGTTTTGGCAACGGGTTCTGGTTGAGATGGGGATGAAGATGGATCCGCTCCGTTTGGGGATGGGTCCTCGGCGCCGGCACCTGTGCCGTGGGAGCAACGTTAGCACCCATGGGTGGCCCCCCTTCTTTCCACCCCAAAATTGGAGGTTCTGTGCCCAAAGTCGGGGTCCTGTGCCAGTATTCGGGGTCCCCATGCCAGTGCTGGGGGGCTTGTGCCATAATCGGGGGTCCCGTGCCAAAACTGGGGGTTCTGTACCCTACCTTGTTTTTCTGTGCCAAAATTGGAGGCTCTGTGCCCCAAAGTTGGGGTCCTGTGCCAAAATTGGGGGTCCTATGCCAAAACTGGGGGTCCCGTGCCATAATTTGTGGTCCTGTGCTAGAATTGGGGGGTCCTGTGCCCAAAGTTGAGTTCCTGTGCCAAAATTGGGGGTCCCATGCCCAAAGTTGGGTTCCTGTGCCAAAACTGGGGGTCCCAGGCCATAATTTGTGGTCCTATGCCAAAACTGGGGGTCCTGTGTCCAAAGTTGGGGTTTTGTCCCATTTCCATCGTCCCATTTGTCCCATTTTCACTCCCACTCCAAATTTGGGGCCCCCACCCCCAAATTCTCAGTTCCTCCTCCCAAATTTTGTCCTCCCGATACCAAACTTGGGGCTCCCAACCCTAAGTTTTGGGTCACCAGTCCTCAAGTTTGGGTCCCCCCCCCC